TAGTGAGTTCGGAACCTAGTTGGTCAAGCCTACTCACTAGGTTCCGAAACGCACAAAACATAGGAGAAGATCCGTGGTTGCGATCATAGAATTTGAAAACCTGAGTTTTGACGAATGCGGCCACGGTGGTAGAGCCTTCGCAGTTTGATGCACTTCTGACTTATACCACATTTCAAAGCGATAAAGTGAAGCGAAAAGACAATACGTTGATAGCAACTAGCCATCCAATACATGAAGAATCGCAACGCTAATTCAAAAAACATCAAACAGCGGGAACCGCTGCGGTCCCGAAGCGCGGATGCAAATTCAGCACCTTCAGTTACTCACCAGTTGGAATAAAAACTTCTTTTGAGCAAATGAGTCATGATGTCACTTGAATATATGATTATAGGGCTAGAGAAGCTTGGTGCAGGAAGTGTATGTCATGTTCAAAGCTTCGGGAATGACTATCCGGAGCGCAACTTGGCGGGATTTAACCTATATAGTGGATCGCGTGACCGCCAAGTGTAAGTAATAACAAATTCTAGTTGAAGTTATAGAAGCTTCGAATCCAAACACTAGGTCAACTTTGCTGGAACACTCAGGCTTCTTTTGCTTCCTGCTTTCCAAAGCAAAATCCGTATCAAAACTCACGGATACGGTTGACTATCCACCACGAATGAGATGTAGATCCACTGTAAAGTGAGCCCCACAGTTATAAGTCCCATATAATATTATTTTGAGTCGTGTATATCATTCATTAGCAATTTTCGTGACACACAGACAGAGATGGCAAGCTCATCACTATACAGTATAGATAACACGAAACATAGCTCTCACAATGGCGATATACTAATTTGTAAGGAAAGTTTGAGTATCTTCTTGCACGTTATTGTTTGGAGGTACGTAGGAATTTTTTGGAAAGAGATTCGATTTTAAGCCAGCTAAGAAATTTTGACTTTTTGCTCCAAATTTTGAATGGATTACGACTTAGGTGGATACTTGATGGCCTTCTTGTAGAGCTTGCTCCGCTATATCGAACGGTACCCTAAGTCTGTTCGGAAAACAAAAACAGCTCTTTATTCGAAGATGGAGTTTATTTTTTGGGTAGTTATCTACAACCTAAGAGTAATCCATCGACGCTCACAGCTGCGTTGTAGTAATGGGCAATAAGCTAAGATATGCTGAATTATATCATCTTAAAGATGCTCGATGTTCTCCGTA